TTTTTGTTTTGAGAATTCTAGCGCTAATAATGAATGATCTTAATGACTGGGATGATGGTGTTGGTAATGTATGTACACAAACAGAAACGCTGGATTGTGTACGCAAAGATGAAAGGAAGATTGGATATAAACTGATGATGAACGTTATGCTTTATGGCGCGGAACGTGACTGTGAAATAATGCCTTTGCTTTTGCAAGGGGCAAGAGTCTTCTATTTATAGAACGTTATATAAGATTATGACATTCATGCATATCAAATCTGTCTCTGTTCCTTCTCTGTCTGCCTGTCTTTGACTCTGTTCAAGTCTCTCTCTCTCTCTCTCTCTCTCTCTCTCTCTCTCTCTCTCTCTCTCTCTCTCTCTCTCTCTCTCTCTCTCTCTCTCTCTCACAACACACACACACACACACACACACACACACACACACACACACACACACACACACACACACACACACACACACACACACACACACACACACACACACACACACAGTCATTCACACAGACACTCTAGCTATCTATCTTTATCTCTCTCTATCTCTCTCTGTCTATCTATCTCTTGTTTTCTCTCTCCTTCTCCATGCGTATGTGTGTATAGATTTCCTTGCCACGTCACTTCATCTTTTAAAAAACATTTGTCTCTGACATCTAAGTAAATTTTTTTCTCGCTCAGTCGTTTTGTCTCGAGAGAACACTACTTAAAGGACAAAGATGAGATCCTTTCCACTTGTCTCGACCCTCAAGTGATTTTTTTTAGAAATTGACTTTATTATCCGGAGAATTATCTTTTTCTAGCCATTGACTTTACTATCCGTGGGATTAATTATCTGTTAAGAGATCTGATTGAACTTGCATTCCATTTCACAAGGTGTTCCGGGTTATACTTATAAAAATAGTATATAAAGAAATACATTTTAACTCCCTCTCATATGCACGCACAAACACACACATGCATGGATCAGGATTCCATGAACGAGAACAACTAGGGACATGATGTAACAGCTTGAGAAATGACGTAACACCCAGGGACATGACATAACAGAGACATGACGTGGATAACAGCCAGGGACATGACGTGATGACATAACAGCCAGGGACTTGACGACATTGACATGACATGACATGACGTGACTGGCCAGGGACATGACATAACAGCTGAGGGACATGACAGTGACTGCCAGGGACATGACATAACATGCCAGGGGAGCCAGGACTTGACCTGTCTGCCAGGACATGGGGCACATGACCAACAGCCAGGGACATGACCTGTGACATGCCAGGGACATGACATAACAGCCAGGGACATGACATGACGTAACATGCAACACAGGGACATGACGTGACATGACTGACCTAACCAGCCGGACATGACGTAACAGCCAGGGACATGACGTGACAGCCAGGGACATGGACGTGGACTGCCAAGGACATAACATAACAGTCAAGGACATGAGCTAGGGACATGATGCAGAACGCCACATCCGGGGGCGTAACGGAACTAGAGCCAGGGACGGGGAGATGACAAGGCCGGAGCCAAGTTGTTACGCAAGGGACAGATAGGGAGAGCACGCAATACCGTCGTCTCGGGCGCGATGCGTCAAACTGCTGAGAGGCGAGTTATTTTCCCTATTTTAAACTCGGTGTTGCAATGTACGTCGTGTCTTTCTTTTTACTTTATTTCGTTATTTTTCTCGTCTGTTTACATACTCCTTACCTTCACTTTGCAATTATTAATCGTGTGATATCATCACCATCACCTTTACCCTTAACACATCACCACACCACCATCCTTATCATCACCACCACCACCCTCATCACCTTCACCATGACCCAACCTCAACACCACCATCCATCATCACCAACTCCCTCATCATCACCACCACCCTCAACACATCAACACTACCCTCAACATATCACGACCACTTCATCATCACCACCACCACCTCATCATCATCACCACCACCACCGTCAACACATCACGACCACCTCCCTCATCATCACCACCACCCTCAACACATCAACACCACCTCATCACCACCACCCTCAACTCACGACCACCCATCATCACACCACCACCACCTCCTCATCACCACCACCACCACCACCCTCAACATCACCACCAAAATCATCACCATCGCAGAGGAGCCAATGTGTCACCTTCCGTCTATTGTCTGGCGTCTTGGTTAGTCAGCAAGATTAAGCGAAAAGTTAAGAACGGATTGTGATGAAGCTTTGCGGATGTGCTGGCCACGGCTCAGGGATTGGTTGATTGGATTTTGGTGGTGAACCGGATCCTCGTCCTGATCCCGAATCCAATTTGAGGATTCATCGCCGGTGGGATTCGTCTTAGAATATGGATCGGTTAGGAATTTCGTCCTCGTTTTTCAGAATTTTGACAAGATAGTGACTTGGGGTGTTTGGGCGCTGACTTACACTCTTGCTGGTAATATGAGTACTGTTTTTTTATTACGAGAGCAATGGAGACGATGTGATGAAGATGAAATTATAGGTATACTGAAGGGGCAGATTACGAAAACAGCAATACGGTTAGTTGTAAAGCCCCCCCCCTTCGCCATCCTCTCCTATCGGTTTTTATTACCTCCTTAAGAGGTCTCTCATCCTATTCTTTTCAATGGCACTTACATAAGTATTTCATCTACCTTACGTCTCTACTCCCCGCCTGTCGCCTTTTTATTACTTATTTATTACTTCTGGAGATTTCTGCCGTGTAATTTCTATTTCGTAATCTTCGGAATATTTATATGCTGCTTCTCTTCTGTGGCTTTGTCCTCTGTTCGTCCTGTCTCGTCTCCATTTTATTTGATTACTTTTTTTATCTTCTCTCTACGCTTTATCTTTACCCCTCCTCCACTTCCATTTTATTCATGCAGAAAAGAAGATAAAAGGAGAATGAATAGCTTCACAAAACATTAATGTCTCTTATATTCGTCTATTCATTCTTTTATGCAATCCATCCCCCCTCATTGTCTTCAACCTTTAATTAGCTCATCATTCTATTTTCCTCCTTCCTTCGTCACACCTATTTATCCCCCTCCCTCTCTTTTTTACCTCTCTTACCTCTCCTTCTTCCAAGGCCAAGAATCTTTCCCCCTCTTCTTCCAAGCCTATGAGAGGAAGAATATATTGACTACGAGACGCCTACTTTGAGGAATTATATAAGGTACTTCAGGGGACGGGGGTCGGGTAACGGGGTGGGGGTCGGGTAGGGGGGGAGTGTGGGAGGGGAATGGGAGTCGTATTTCATATTCTATTTGATGAGCCTACGTGCGAGTTCTTGGGTTTTTTTCTTCTTTTACTCTCTGTCCTTGTGTGTCATTATGTGAGATTTTCTGTCTGTCTTTGTCATTCTCTGCCAATCTGTTTTTTCTTCTTCTTCGCCTCTTTTATCATGTCCACTTACCCTCTCCCTTCCTCCTTTTTTTATCGACTCCCTTCTCTTTTCCTTCTCCTTTCTTTCCTCTCTCCCACATTCTCTCACGTTCACTTTCTCCCCCTTCTCTCTCACTTCATTCCCTTTCTTCCTTTCTTCCAAGGTCATGACTCACTCCCTCTTATTTAATATTTTCAAGAAGGCGTAAAAATACCCCCAAAAATATCATGCAAGAAAAAGTTGGTTACATAAGTATCAATGTTTTGGTAAGGAATATGATTGTACATTACTGTTGAGAAACATCGTAATCATGTCAACAACAAACAACTAAGAAATTTATAAGTAATTTAAAGATTATTGCAACGAATCCCCCCCCCCTGTCTAATCTTTCTATTTCCCTCCTCTCTCTCTCTCTCTGTCTCTCTCCCCCCCCCCCTCTCTCTCTCTCTTTCTTCTCCTCTCTCACTCTCTTTCTCTCTCTCGCTCTCTTTCTCCCCCCACCACTCTCTCTCTCTCTCTTCTCTTTCTTCTCTCCTCTCCTCTCCTCTCTCTCCTCTCCTCTCTTCTCCTCTCTCTCCTCTCCTCTCCTCTCCTCTCTCCTCTCCTCTCTCTCTCTCTCTCTCTCTCTCTCTCTCTCTCTCTCTCTCTCTCTCTCTCTTCTCTCTCTCTCTCTCTCTCTCTCTCCTCTCTCTCTCTCTCTCTCTCCTCATCCCCTCTCTCCTCTTCCCACCCCTCCTCTCTCTTCCCCAAACAGTCTCACTCACTCTCTCCTCTCTCTCTCCTTCCCCAACATTTTCACACGCTGTCCCCCGTTCTCTCCTTCACCCAACTCTCTCCCTCTCCTCTCAAGGAAAAGTTGATTTCACAAATCGTTTGTTAATATTGTGCGAGCATTCATGAGCATTCATTATACGGACATGCATATACACAGACGAGACATGCATGTCTACCGTATAGACAGACTGATAAATGTGTACATATATGGTAGATAGACAGGTATGCATTCATTTCTGTGTATATGCATGTCTATATATACGAATGTTGATTGGTTCGGGCCTCGCACAATTTCAACAAACCGGCTGATATCAATACTTTGATAAGGATAAAGATTTTACATTATTTTGGGAAACAAGACAGAAAAGGGATCATATTATTTTACGAATTAAAAAAAATTACAAGTAATTTGAAAAATAATTGCAGGGAAATCCTCTACCCCCTTATCTCTCACTTTCTCTCTCTCTCTCCCTCTTTCTATCTTTCTCTCTCTCTGCCTGTTCTCTTTTCCCAACACACCCTCTCCCCCACCCTCCCCCTTGCTTTCCCCCACTCTCACTCACCTAAGGTCATCTCTCCTCTCTCTCTCTCTCTCTCTCTCTCTCTCTCTCTCTCTCCTCTCTCTCCTCTCTCTCTCTCTCTCTCTCTCTCTCTTTCTCTCTCTCTCTCTCTCTCTCTCTCTCTCTCTCTCTCTCTCTCTCTCTCTCTCTCTCTCTCTCTCTCTCTCTCTCTCTCTCTCTCTCCTCTCTCTCTCTTCTCTCTCTCTCTCTCTCTCCTCTCTCTCACTCCTCTCTCTCTACCTCCTCTCTCTCTCTCATTCTCCTCCCTCCTCAGGGAAGGATGCCCCATCGTCCCCGGCGCGACGCTGACTAAGACCTTCAGCCTGAAGCCGAAGCTCGAGTACAACCGGGAGAAGCGCGGCGTGGCGGTCGAGGGTCGCTTGAAGTCCGAGGNCTTTTACAATTTATTATTATTATTATTATCATTTATTATTATCATTATTATCATTATTATTATTATTCATTATATATCATTATTATTATTATTATTTATTATATATTTTTATTATATATTATTATCATTATTATATTATTTATCATTATTATTCATTATTCTATTATTTATTTATTATTCATTATATTATTTATTATTATTATTATTATCATATTATTATTATTATTATTATTATTATTATTATTATTATTATATTATCATTATTATTATTATATTTATTATTATTATATATTATTATCTATTATATTATTATATATTATTATTATTATTATTATTTATATTATTTTCATTATTATTATTATTATCATTATTATTATTTCTTCCTCCGATTTTTTAAGTTCTTTGGTTTGTTTCTTTGGAGAGTGAGAGACTCAAATCTCGGCCATCCATCTTCCCTTTTTTCAGCCTCTTCTTTGGCTATTCTCATTTTCTTTCTCTTCGTGTTCACTTATTTCTCTTCGCTTCGTTTGCCTCGATTTCTTTCTAATTCCCTTATGCTAATTCCCCCCCCCCTCCCCCTACCCTCTCCTCTCTTACCCGCTTTATTCCCCTTTCATTCCCTTCCTTCCTCCTCTCCTTCCCTTCCTTTCCACCCTCCCCCTACCCTCTCCCCCTCTTACCCGCTATTATTCCCCTTTCATTCCCTTCCCTTCCTCTCTCCTTTCCTTCCTCTCCCTTCCCTTCTCCACCCTCCTCCCTACCCTCTCCCCCTCTTTAACCGCTATTATTCCCTTTCATTCCCTTCCCTTCCTCCTCTCCTTCCCTTCCTTTTCCCTCCCTCCCCCACCTCCCCTACCCTCTCCCCCTCTTACCCGCTATTATTCCCCTTTCATTCTCTTCCCTTCCTCCTCTCTTCTTCCCTTCCTTTTCCCTCCTCCCCCACCCTCCCCCTACCCTCTCCCCCTCTTACCCGCTATTCCCCTTTCATCCCCTTCCCTTCTCCTCTCCTTCCCTCCCTTTCCCTTCCCTTCTCCACCCTCCCCCCTACCCTCTCCCCTCTTACCGCTATTCCTTCATTCCCTTCTTTCCTCCTCTCCTTCCCTTCCTTTTCCCTCCCTTCCTCCCCTCCCCTGCCCTCTCCCCCTCTTACCGCTATTCCCTTTCATTCCCTTCCCTTCCTCCTCTCCTTTCCTTCCTCTCCCTCCCTTCTCCCCCTCCCCCCTACCCTCTCCCCTCTTACCCGCTATTCCCCTTTCATTCCCCCCCCTCCCCCCCTACCCTCTACGGTTACCAAGAGATGTTTTTGCATTTAAAACCCTGTTTCTCTTCTTCTTCTTCTTCTCTTCTTCTTCTTCTTCTTCTTCTTCTTCTTCTTCTTCTTCTTCTTCTTCTTCTTCTTCTTTCTTTCTTTCTTTCTTTTATTCTTGCCAGTTCACTTTCTCGGAAATCTGACCATCTTCCTTGTTTGCTTATTGCTTTGTTTTCTTTGCTCCGTTTTCTATGCTCTGTTTATCCCTTCGTTTTCTTTCTCTTTTGCTCCTTATGACATTACGTTTTCTTTGATAATATTGATACAATATTGATAATAATGATAATGATGATGATGATAACAACAGATATGATGATAATAGCAATGAGAGTAATGATAATAATAATAATAATAAAGGAATAAGAATAATGATAACAATAGTGATAATGATTGTTAAAAATCATAATGATAATGACAGTTATAGTAATAACAATAATAGCGATGATAATCACAACAATAATAATTGTTCACGTCGACTCATAGCTAATTTTCCGTTAGGTTTTGTTTTCTATCTTTTGTTTCTTTCCTTCTTTCTTCTAACGCAAGGTTCTCTGTTGCTTCGTCTCTCTTTATTTTTTATTCGTCACATTTTCCCTTTTTTATTTGTTCATTTATTTGTTTTCATTCTGTCCATCACTTTGTTTTCTTTACGATTTTCCATTTCTAAAAAGAAAAAAAAAATACTTTCATTTCCGTGTATATATTTTTTTTACAATCGACTTTTTTTTTCGTTTTCTCACTTTATCTTTCACTTTCTCTTCGTCAAATTGTTCTTTTACTCTCACTCTTCTTTCTAAAATTACCCCCCCTCCCCTCTCACCCCCTTACCCCCCTCACCCCCTCACCCCCTTACCCCCCTCACCCCCCTCACCCCCCTCACCCCCTCACCCCCCTCCCCCCTCACCCCCCCTCACCCCCCTCACCCCCCTCACCCCCCCTCACCCCCCCCTCACCCCCCTTACCCCCCTCACCCCCCTCACCCCCTCACCCCCCTCACTCCCCTCACCCCCCCTCACCCCTCACCACCTGTCATCGACCCACCGAAAACATTTTTTTTTTTTTTTTCTTTTCTTTCCTCTTTTTCTCGTTTTTATTCGTACGAGATGCGATGGGCTTCGCTTTCACACGGGGACATAAACATCTGAAAATGATCACAACAAAGTTTGACATTCCTGGCGGTCAGAGGAGCGCGTTCCAGGTTATGGATTTTACGTAGGGGGGGGGGGGAGGAGGGGGGGGGGGGGGGGGGGGGGGAGGGGAATGAAAGGGGAATGGCGGGTAAGAGGAGGAGAGGGTAGGAGGGGGGAAAGGAGGGAAGGAGAGGGTAGGGGTGGGGAAGAGAGGGGGGAAGGGAATGAGTGGGGAATGGCGGTAAGAGGAGGAGAAGGTAGAGAGGGTAGGGAGGGGAAAGGGGGAAGAGAGGAGGAGGGGAGGGGAATGAAAGGGGAACAGCGGTAAGAGGAGGAGAGGGCAGGGGAGGTAGAAGGGAGGGGAAAGGAGGGGAAGAGAAGGAAGGGAAGGGAATGAGGGGAATAGCGGGTAGAGGAGGAGAGGGTAGGGGGTAGGAAGGCAGGGGTGGGAAGGAGGGGAAGAGAGGGGGAATGAAAGGGGAATGGCGGGTAAAGAGGGAGAGGGTAGAGGGAGGGTAGGAAGGAGGGGAAAAGGAAGGGAAGGAGAGGAGGAGGGAAGGGAATGAGAGGGGAATGGCGGGTAGGAGGAGGAGAGGGCAGGGGGAAGGGTAGAGGGAAGGGCAGGAGGGAGGGGAAAAAAGGGAAAAGGAGGGAAGGAGAGGAGGAAGGAAAGGGAATGAAAGGGGAATAGCGGGTAAGAGGAGGAGAGGGTAGAGGGTAGGGGGGAGGGTAGGAGGGAGGGGAAAAGGAAGGGAAGGAGAGGAGGAAGGGAAGGGAATGAGAGGGGAATGGTGGGTAAGAGGAGGAGAGGGTAGGGAAAGGAAGAGAAGGAGAG